ATTTTTTTTTTCACTGAGAAAACTACAGGGCTTGTCTTTGTGTATGCCAATAGGCTGGTCTGCCTGACTCTCTATAGTAGAGTCTAATGAAGCAAAATCAGCAGGGGAGGAAGAAAGAGTGGGTAGGAACACATTCAGTTATATAGTATTTTCAAATTTGTGTGACAGCTAACAGTAAGGCATGTGTTGACCAATATTCACAGAAGCACTCTTCAGGAAACACAATGTCCCAGTAAATGTCCACCAACATATGAATGGCTAAACTAAATGTGTACTTAACTTACAACTGAATACTTTCAGACATGAAGAAAAGAAGTCCATATATATTTAATAACATGGATTAATCCTGAAATCACTGCAGTGAGTGAAATAAGTCAATCGTACAAATATATCTCAACTCACTACTGGCAAACTGGACCTGACTCATAGCCGACCCTCTAGCAAGTTTCTAAGGGTGTAAATCACATGGTACAAAGGTACTACTACCTTATTCCTGAAGAATCACTGGCAGATTTAAACATCACAACTCCACAGAGACCACACCACCAAGCTCAAATATTATATAATCTCACTAATATGACAAATCTGTGTTGCTTGGTGCCATTTAATTGCATATAAATCATAGAACTCTACAAACAACCTGAATCCTGACCTATCATGTGCCATCCTCATCATCTCTGGTACACCGGCCAGCAGCCAGGATGTCAATTCACTTCTTCTGAGGTCTTCTCTTTCGCTGACCTTCCATCTTTCCAAAGAATAGCCTCTCCTAGTAACACATCCAAACCATGAGACAAAGCTTCACCATCTTTGTTTTCAAGGAGCATTCTAAGGGAGCTGTGGTGGTCTAGTGGTAAGAAGCTATGCTGCAATACCAAAGGTGCATGGTTTGAATCCACCAGATGCTCCACTAGAAACAAAGGGCCAATCTCTTGTGACAGTTGGATCCAATTCGACAGTACAAAACAAGAAAAAAACCAAACAAGACAAAAAAACCAACCAAACAAGCTATGCTGCAATACCAAGGAACATTCTGGTTGCATCTTTTCCAAAACTTACCTGTTTGTTTTTCTTTATAGTCCATGGATTATTCAGTTGTACTGAAAACCCAAAAGCACCTGGATTGATGAATTGTTATTGTTACTGCATACTGTGGAGTCAAACCCAACCTGTAGCTGACCCTTCAACAGGTTTTTAGAGGCAGTAAATTGCACAGGATGAGAATGTCCATCTTTCTTGAAGCTACTGATGGTTTTGAACTGTGTGCCTTTGGAATTGCAGGGCAGTTTGTTACTAATACACCACCAGAGCTCCCTATGCACTATCTCGGATAGGCATTATACAGACACCAAGGTTCTGAGTGGTTTCCAGGGGCAGGAGAAGGAGAGGACATTTTTCTAAGCACTGGGTTTCTCTTGATGGTGATGGGAAACATGGCAAGAGATTTGGTGACAGTTGCAGAACAGCATTAATGAATTTAAGCCACAAAACGTGCATGTGAAAACATTAAATTGGGAAAATTATAAATATTTTATATTAATTATATATTTTTACAAGAATAACAAAATACATTCATATTCAAATATTCATACACAAATATATGAAATGGAAATTTCCTAAAGTATCTATAATACCTATCCCTAATGCTTTTGTAGCATTTCATTTTGTTATCTAAGAGCTGGACAATGAGGGGAGCACTTGTGGCCTAGTGGCAAGAAGCTGCAACTACAATCCCAGAGGTGCATGGTTCGAATCCACCAGATGCTCTGCCGGGGAAGGAGGGGCAATCTCCTCCTGTACCAGTCAGATCTGATTTGACGGTACACGCACACAAAAATAATAAAATAAAATAAAAATTAAAAAAAAAAAGGAAGTAAAAAAAAAAAAGAGCTGGACAATGAATAAGAATGACAGAAGAACTAATGCCTTTGAGCTGTTGAAGAAGAATACTGAACATTCATCCCATGGCCTGCCAAAAGAATGAACTAATATGTGTCTGAGAATGTGCAGCTAGAGTGCTCCTTGGAGACAAAGGTAATAAACGTTTCTTCTCATGCACTTTGGAAGTGTTCCTAGAAGAGGCTATTTTTTGGAGAGGGAGAAGGTTGGCAAAGAAGAAGAAGGCCTTCAATCAAGTGGACTGCCACAGTGACTGCCACAGTGGCTCCACTGTGTCAGGAAGTGTGAGAACGGCATAGGACAGGACAGCGTTCAGATCTCTTGCTGGTAAGTTCACAATGGGTCGAACTCAACTTTATGGCACCTAACTATAACAACAACAATAACCACTGCTTTTGAGTTATTCTAGTATCTTCACTTATCCACTCATTGTCTTATAAGATAATCTGCTTCCAGTAAAGTTACTTCCTTAGCCTCAAAGGTATGATAAAAAACAGTTAGAAAAATACTCCTTTAAAGTTTTCAGAAAAACTTTGCTTACTGCTGTCAACTTAACCTGGATCCCAATGGACAGAAAGAAGAGTCTGTCATACAATTTCTCACTACGCTTCTATTCTTTTTCCATGGTACTGGGTTTATGGTATATTAAAAAAAGTATATTGTACACACATATGTATTTATGTTATATGACTATACCAGTGCCAGTAGCCACAGAGTTGATTCTGATTCAGAGACACTCTAGGAGCATCAGGATAGAACGGTCAGCCCAACAAACTTAAAATTGCTAATTTTTCTTAAGTATAACACTAAGTCGTTTTTCTGAGTTATCTCTGGATACTCACGTATTTTGGGCATGTTGCTAGGAGAGGCTATACCTTGGAGAGGGACATCATGCTTGAAAAATGGTCAGTGAAAGAGAAGAAGACTCTTAAAAGAGATGTAATAACATAGTGACTGCAGGAAAGGGCTCAAGTATATCAGGGATACTAAGGATGAACAGGACAGGACAGGGCTCAGATCTGTAGTTTATAGGGTCGCTATGAGTTGTACTTGACTCAAAGGCACCTAACCTAAAAACCACCACCACAGGATAGACCTGGGGAAGAACCTATTGGTTAACAGCCACTACACAGATTTGACAATTAGGTTGTTCAGAGTTGTAATACTGTAGAAAGCATGTAGAACTCACCCCAGTAGCAGTGACAAAGTTTAACAGGACAGCAAGCAATAAATGCTGGAGAGAATGTAGAGAGACTGCAACTCTCACAGACTGTTGGTGGGATAGTAAAATGTAACCACTCTGGAAGGCAATTTGGCATTTCCTCAAAAAGCTGAACATATGGGAGCTCTGGTGGCCTAGTAGTAAGAAGCTGTGCTGCAATCCCAAAGGCATGTGGTTCGAATCCACCAGATGCTCTGTTGGAGGAGAGGCAATCTTCTCCAGTGTCAGTCAGATCTGATTTGAAAAATAAAAAAAGCTGAACCTAGAGATTCCATAGGACCCAGTTATTTCACTGCTAGGGATATACCCCGAGGAAAACAGAACTGAGATGAAACAGATTTTTACACCGATATTCCTAACAGTATTATTCACAATATCAAGAACATGGAAAGATGCCAAATGTCTATCAACGAATTAATGGATTGAGAAATTGTGACACAGTCACACGATGGAATACTATGCAGCACTCAGGGAAAACTATTTTGAAAAATACAATGCAACATGGGAGAGGTTGAAGAGCATTAGCCTGAGTGAAGTAACTCAGGATTATAAGAACAAAATATCATTATTAAAATAGAAGACCATGTGAAAATAGAAGGATAAGCAGTAAGATGTATATGGATATCCAAAGAGGGAAGGGTATAGGAGAAAAAGACTGAGGGTGGGGCGGGGGGGAGAGATCATGGGGCCACAAGTTTGGTGGATGGAGGGAAGGGCGAATAAAAAACTCCAACAATGTACCTGAATGAAACACAATGTAAACAAATTTTTTACATCTACAATAAATATGCATGGTAGCAGCAGTCAAAAAATCAAAAGACAGGCTGCATTAAGAAAATCTGCTGTTAACAACCTCACCAAAGTGCTAGAGAACAAGAATATAATTTTAGAGACTAATGTGCTCTTGATTCAAGTGATATAGAGTTTTCAATTGTTTCTTGTGCATCTGAAAGTTAGACAATGAATAAGGAAGACCAAAAAAGAATCAATGCCTTTGAATTGTAGTGCTGGTGAAGAGTACTGAGTATCTACTCCATGGACTGGCAAAAAAACAGTTCTATCTTGGAGGAAGTGCAGACAGGTGCTTCTTAGAAAGGATGGTGAAACTTCATCTCACAAGCATCGGGCATGGTATCAGGAGTGAGCTAGTCCTTGTAGAAAAACATCATACTAGGAAAGCTAGAGGTTTAGCTAAGGACAGGATGCATCAAGGAGAGGGATTGGCACATTGCCTAGAACAGTGGCTGGGAGTTATGTTGGATGTTGTGATGACGGCATGATTTAGGACAAGGTTAAGATGTCTGGCTCATGGATCCATCTGAGTATAAGGATGGCTATAAGTCGTAGTGCACTCAATAGCATGCAACAACTATGCTTAATTAAAGTTAGAGACTAGATAAAGCACTTTCTTTTTTTTTTAGCTTTGTTTTATTATACTTAGAGTGAGTTGGTTACTGTTCATTATAACTAGAGTAAAAGAAGACTACTTTGAACAATCCTGCCATTAAGGAGAATGATGGCTATTATATAACCTTTGTTTTAATGTAATTTTTTACTTTTTTTTAAAATTCTATACACAATTTTATCAGTCTCAATCTATATCAATCTTAGTTCTCGCTAAAGAAAAGCAATCACAATTTTACAGAAAAGACTGAAGAGAGAAAATCAATATAAGCTTAGTCTTCAACTGTTAAATACAAGTGTCAACAGCTCTAAAAAGAGTGATGAGGAGACTCATTATCAATATTACAACAGAGCTGAACCATCTATGGCTAGCTATAACTAAAGAGTAAAATCCAAAGGGTAACCACGTCACCCACCACATCTGCCTTAACAAGGGAGGTCAGGAATGTTTCAGGACCAATGAAAGCTGACTCACCTCTATAGGTGGGTGTGGGGATCTCGTCCCTGGCATGAAGGTTGAGTCCTGCCAGCTCTTCCTCATTTTCTGCTGCAGTAGCTGGATCAGTTTGGGGACTGGGAGTGCCTGGCACAGAGAAAGAGAGATCAGCTTGTGAGCCTATGTGAGTTGGAAGGGCAGGGAGTACATGCTGTGTCTTTCAAAGGATCCTCCCAACTAATATAAAGGGAATCATGAAGGTCCTGGATGGCAAAACACAACATTGCTATTAGAAGGACATGCAAGACACAAGATGCCAGGAAATGTGCCGCAAAGGAGCAAAAGTAGAGTCTGAAAAGGAGACAGAAGTGCCTGCAGACCACCTGTGAGGCTGAGGCTAGGGTCATGACTGAAACCCATCCTCACTGAGGAAAGGCAGTGTGGTCTGGTGGAAAAGAGCATGGATTCCAAGCCAGCTACAGTGAGTTCCATCCTGGCTCAGCACTTATATGCACATGACAGGAAGCTAGTAACTTGACACTTTCACTATGTTCAATATGGGACGACATCTCTACTCCATAGGGCTGACCTGGAGATAAAGTAGTGATTGTATGCAGTGCACCCAGTAGTGCTCTAAGAATCTAATACAAGGAAGTTCTTGCCATACCTCTGCTAGCTTCCCCTCATCCTAGTTACCAACTATGTTACTAGTGAATTCCCACCCCAAGAACTTCAGAGTGCATTGTCTATAAAAAATACAACATCGCCTAAGTATTTCCAGCCCTTCCACCTACTCCCACTAGGTAAGCCATGCCCTCACCTCCTGAGATCATTTTCCCATAGTTCTCTAGCATGAGGTTCCAGTAGTGCTCCTTCTGAGTAGAATCCAGGCACTTCCACTGCTCCTGGACAAAACATAATGTCATGACCTTAAACATGGCTCCAAAGGAAGGTACCTGACCCTACCTAGAGGAAAAGTAAGAAGGAATGAATGTGCCAAAGGAGCCTAGGTACCAAAGATCTGAGAAAACATGGGAGAGAACAGACCAATGGAACAACAGACCAGAAGTAAAACTACAGCCCCTACTTGCAGTATTTCTTGTCTTGAGAAGAAAACATTTAGCTTTTAATTTCTATGTGTATGTTTTTCAGTTGTATGCGTCTAAGGGTATACTCTTTCTGTTGAATAGAGAACATACAGAGGAATGTTTTTCCAATCTTTCCACATTCTTTTTTCACTCTCTAAATGAGACTAGACTTTATGAGGAATGTGGCATCAGGACTGGAGGAAGATTCAACAATCTACATTAAGCAGATGGCACAATCTTGCTTGCTGAAACTGAGGATGACCTAAAGCGTGTGCTGCAGAAAATCAAGTACTGTAGTCTCTAATATGGATTGAAACTCAACATTAAGAAGACAAAGATTCATGCACACCCATGTTTGTTGTGGCTTTGTTCACATTAGCAAAAAGTTGGAAACAACCTAAGTGCCCATCAACAATGGAACAGACAGAGAAGCTGTAGTATATTCACACAACAGAATACTATGCTGCACTGAAAAACAAGAAACTCAAGAAATATTATTCAAAATGGACGACCTTGGAGGACATTATGCTGAGGAAATATCTCAGTCACAAAAGGACAAATATTGCATAGTGCCACTGTTGTAAAATGGGACTGACATAGAGTTGAGGGGGAGAATGAGAAAGATGGGATAAATTATGTATATTGCATTGAAATAGATGAGAGAGAGAAAACTGTTTACAAGGTATATATGAGTAGGTATTATTGTTATGACATGAGTCCAGAACGAAGGCTGCATAGTGGAGTGGACTTGAGGGGAGGGCTTGTATACCAATGAAAGAATTTTTCTTTTACTTTTCAAAGAGATGAATGAACTGGAGGGGAAGGGTGGGCAGAAAGAAAAGTGCAACAATGAATGAATGGAAATCCAAAATCTGTAAATTTTCATTAAAATTAATAAAAAATAAATAAAATTTTTAAACCCTATACATTACAAACATTATAACAGATTACAAAATAAAAACAAGTATCTCTTCTTGAGAAAACGGGGGGAAAAAGAAGACAAAGATTCTCACTACTGTGCCAACTGGCAGCACCATGATAGGTAGAGAAGAGATTCAGATTTTTAACAATTTCAACTTGCTCAGCTCCACAATCAACACTCTTGGCACCAGCAGACAAGAAATAAAAGATGCACTGCAATGGGAAAATTTGCTGTCATGGACCTCTCAAAAGTACTGAGGAGCAACTATATCAGTCTAGAGACTAAGGTGTGCCTGTTCCAGGGCATCGTCTTCACAATTACTTCCTGTGCATCAGAAAGCTGGACAATAATTAAGGACGGCTGTAGAAGAATTGATGCATTTGAGGTATAGTGGTGGAGAAGAGAATTGAACATACCATGGACCTCCAAGAAAATAAACAGGTCAATCTTAGATAGGGTGAAACCAAATTTCTCTTTGGAGGTAAGGATTTTGAAGCTGTCTCACACACTTTGGGCACATGGCCAGAAAGCACCAGTCCTTGCAGAAGGACATCATGCTCAGAAGGGTGGAAGGACAGCGCACAAGGGAAGATCCCAGATGAGATGGACTGATATAGTAACTGGGGTAATGGATGTAGATGTGTTTGAGTCAGTGAGACTAGACTAGCTCAGAATAGGGCCTGCTTCAGATCTATTGTACAAAGGGTCACTATGAGTTGCAGATGACTTGATGGCATATAACAAGAATAACAACAACTGAGTGTAGATTCTAACATTCCCAATATTGAAGTAAAATCTAAAATTTCCAAGTTAAAAAGGAATTAAAAAGAAGTATGTTCACAATGAAGATTTAAAAAAAAAACAACAACAACAGGGCATCATCAACACTGAAGTGGACTATGTTTAAACCCCATCTGAGACAAGACTCATATTTCTCATATTCTGAGAAAGGGTAAAACATCCCTATAATCTCTCAAGAATTCTAAGTTTAGGGTATATAACATTTATTCGATGGATGAGTTGTCATGAATAAGGAAGCCTCACATATCATCTAAAGGAAAAGTTGTCTGGTGACTTAATGGTAAGAAATTGCACTTCCAGCCCAATAGAAAGCAGTTCAAATCCACTAAGCAGCTCTATAAGAGAAAGACGGGCAATAACCTCTGATGTGATTTACTGCCTCTTAAAAACTACTACTGGAGGGTCAGCTATGAGGCTGTTCCAACTAGATTGTTCATAATAATAACATGGAAATAGAGGGAGCTTTGGTGGCCTACTCTGTAGGGAACCGTGTTGCCAAGCCAGAGGGGGCACCTCTCTGGTGGCTTCATAGAACTAAGATGAGGAGTCTCTTCCCATGTGATTTACAGTTTCCAAAAACCTGCTGGTGAGGTAGTTCTGACTTGATAACAAGGAGCTTGAGTTCTGAGCTTGCAGAACTAGAGACTCAAAAGCAGCAGCTCTACTACCTTCTGGTTCTATGACCTTCAGCAGGTTGGTCAATTTTTCTGAGCCTTTGTCCTCACCTAAATCCTCATCAAGAAAGGAGGGGAAAATCAGGTTTATAGATCCCTCATGATGCATCATATGCTTTATGAAATATTATATTTTTAAAATGAAGTATTTTTAATCAAATTATTATTGTTGTTTTTTATCTGTGAGTCCATTATATCTCAGCAATTCTATGAATCAGAAGGGAGCTGGGGGGAAAAGAGGGATTCAAATAAATGAAAAGGCCAAAAAAATTTACAAATCTCCTGAGAACTAGAAACTCACATTCAAGCTGAATGAACCAGCCACAAGATAAATAACAATAGTTTCAGGTATAATGCAGTCAGTCATTTAAAACCAGAGAGAGTAAGAAAACAGTTAAAGAAAAAAGGAGAATACATCACACAAAACAAAGAGAACATATGGTATGATTCATTTTATAGAAAATCCTAGAAAATGGAAACATTTTTATGGTGATAGAAATCAGATCAGTAGTTGCCCAGAATGGGAAGTGGAAGGGCAGAAAAGGGACTGTAAATTCACAAGAGGAAATACAGGGGTGATATATATGCTTATTATAGTCAGATCAACAACCAAGTGAATGGCTTCAAGAACAGAAATTTATTCTCTCCCACTTTAGGAAGCCAGAAGGCCAAATTCCAGGTAAGTTCTTGGGTAAAGTCCTTGTCTCTTTTCAGTATGTTCGGGTCAGTCATTTCTGGATGATGTACCTGTGTCTGGGCCATTCTTCGCTCTAGGCTCATGAGGTTCCCAGCATGGGACCCAGATCTAATGTATGGTCTACACTCCCGGCCCTTTGTTCTTGGTGTTAGTAAAGTTCTCTCTAAATTGATTCCTCTCCTTTTACCTCTCACATGAGTGTGTGGCTTCAAGAGAAAGTTTGTTTTATCACAGGTCCTTTCTCCTTTTGTTCAGTTCAGATTCCCATATTCTAAATGTCAATTAAAAGAATATTCTGCCTTGGGTGGGGGGAAGGGACGTGGGAATTGTATACTAATGAAGGAATTTTTTTTTCTGTTTTTTTTTTTTCTTTTTTCTCTCTTCGGAGGGGGAAGCGAGCTGGTGGGGAGGGGTGGGAAGGGAGAAAATTGTGGCAATGAATGAATGGAAATC